ACTTCTCTCCATCAATTAAAGATTATGAGCGTAATCAACGGCATGAAGAGAGAAGCATAAATTATACTATTACTGGTCCAGAGCAAGTGAGACCGGTAGATTTCAATAAGGAACTAAGAAATATATCATTTAAAGAGGCTTTAGTGGAATTTTTAATTAACCATTGGAGTACTGATGAAATGGCGCCATTTATTGGAAATACAGTAATTAATATAAATTATAAGCATTGTCATAATTACACAGTTCAAGATAATTCAGTTATTTCGGTTATCAATGATGTTTTGTCCTGTATTCATCACGAAGAGGCGGACACAAAAATTGTACATCATATTTGCCAAATTGAGGAAGACAATGTAAATATTTTAATTAAATCATCAGATACTGATGTTTTAATTATAATGCTTGGAAACATGGACCATTTATCTAGTGACTCATTGCACATTTTTATGGAATACGGTACTGGATCTAAAAAAAGATGTCTTGCCATAAGCGAGCTTTATACTAACCTCGGGCCATCTTTATCATTGAGCTTACCAGGATTCCATGCATTAACCGGTTGTGACTATAATCCGTCATTTTTCAAGAAAGGGAAAAAACGACCTTTTGAAATTTTGAAGAAAAAATTAGAATATCAAGAAGCCCTAAAAAACCTTAGGAATGCTCATACAACAGGTCGCAGCAGTGAAATTTTCAAAATTATTGAAAAATTCATTTGTGAAATTTACGGAAGCAAAGCAGATAATGTTAACGAAGCAAGATATGATAAATTCATCATCACCTACAAACCAAAAAACGTGAATGAACCATTTAATAAGAAATATTTAAACTACGATACATCAAATTTACCTCCTTGTAAATCCGAATTATATCAACATTTACTACGTTCACAATATATTACCAGTATATGGAGTAATGCCCACCTTAAAGAACCCACAACGTTAACACCAGAAAAGAATGGGTGGATTATAGATGATAATAAATATATATATAACTGGTATGAGGGTAGCACTGTGCCACCATCCATCTATGATGCTTTACTACAACCTGATCACTCTAATGACACTGAGTCAGGTAAATAATTTCTGTTTTTTATCTGTACATGTGCATATGGTATTTTTGCCTACATTTCATTTTATCAATAAAAATTTATATTTTTTTTCCAGAAAACGAAACAGCGATCGATGGCTATCATTTTGACTCAGAAGATGAAATACTGAGTGAAGACGAATAAGATACTAATAAAAAAAAATATGTTAAAAAAATAAAAATTTATATTTTACATATAACTCTGTTTTTCTTTTATTACAATAATCGTTCATCATATATTAACAATTTTCAACGAGAAAATTTTTAGAAATTGTATATTTTAATTTTTACAATAATTTCTGACACAGAGACCCGTATAAGCCTATTACGCTCGCACCTCACGAAGCGTCGCGACCGTTATATATTAACTTAGTAGACACTTGCAACCACCAGAATAGTCTGGCTTTTTAAATATATTTATAAAATTGTTTAAAGAATATTTTCTCAAAATTACAGCCTTGTAAAAGCAAGTTATGAATTGCTATCCCCATAACAACTTTATTATGGGTTGGCACGTACTTGCAACCGACAAAATCGACTGTCAATTTTTTTTTACCTTTAAACATATGTAAATTAAAACATATTAAAATTTTAGCCTTGTAAAAGCAGATTTTTTTTACTATTTTTTTAACATTTTCAAAAATTTAGGGGATGATGACGCAACCGCGAGATGCCTGCCAGAACGGTATTTTCTTAGTTAACCAATACTAAAACATTATTTTACAAATTTCTAGCCTTGTGTCAAACAAGTTACTCGGATTGACCGCTAGCTCTCCTACTATAAGAACCCATGATGGCCACATGGTGAGTTAAATCTTCATGCGAGGAAACTCGTGTTCTACCTTAATATTTCGTGCGTTTGACAAAGTTTTTTTGTTTCAGGGTTCTTAACCAAGTTTCTATAATTTATTCCTTAACCTAGTTTAAGGTCTACCTTTTTCTTTTTTTTTTAATGTTCACACCGTAATGTTATCTTAACAACCTGATGATGCTTCGATCCACGAGGGTCTAGACACGTGGACTCAAGCCAGGGCTGTTGCCTGTGCACCCGGGAGGTGAAAAGCTGCCCATTGCCTTGCCAATACCATCGTCCAGGGGATGTGACACGTGTGTTCGGATACCGCATGGACACTAACTGTATAAACCGGGTAATATTAACACATTTTGTAAACCCATTTGATGTAAGTTTAACATTTAGCTGAATTGAATTTGATATCCTTTGGCAAGTAATTTGTATTAGCATACTTTGATACCAAGAAATAAATGGATGTGAACATATAATGTGTGGACATTTTCATTTCATCTGAAATCGTTTGTTACTGTATGCATGGCGCCTCTTTATAAGTTTTGCACACAGTACTCCAGGCACGGTCTTAATAAAACCCGCTCCCTATCAACTTGCTCAACATCTAGCCGACTGTTGCAAATTAGCCGTAGCCAGGAAAAACCCATTCCCGTCTTGACACAAGTCCAAAGACCAAGCGTTTCTTAAAAAATAGTTACGCAATGTGTAATGTAATATACAATAAAATACCACATGACATAAAAAAAACTCCCATTTGACATGTTTCTCAAATCATTACGAAAATGGCTACTGGAAAAAGTTTTCTATTCAATTGACGAATATTTAAATTATAAATGACATACATAATATTATTCTTATTAAATAATTGATCCATGTATTGGTATTGCTATTAGTTTTGATTATTATCCTATTGAATATAATGTATACATTTTTTTTTCTATCTTATTACGGATTTATTAATGAAATTGTATTTTTATTTTGTTATTGTTTTCTTAGAAATATAAATGGAAATATTCCTTTTGCATGCTATAATCATATGGCTAAATAGGTTTAAAGCTACCTTTATATCTTTGTTAACATGAACATTTCAATGTACCCACCCTATTTAATGGCAAATAAAGAATTTGAATTGAATTGATAAATTTTGGTTTAGTCCTATCAAATTAATCAGCGCCTGATACGCGATTAAACACTTGCCGACTAAACGTATTAACGTTTAAATACAATTTACGTAAGGCGCTGACTAATTTGACAGGACCAAACTAAGATTTATCTTCTGTCCTTTTCATAATGAAATATAAAGAAAGAGATGCACTGAACTTAAATTTAGTTTAGTTTGTGAACAAGGGAATCGGCGCCTGTGTGTGTAAGCAAACACATTAAGTTTTAGTTAATTTTATGCAGGTAGATCAGTAAACGATTTTTATGTGATATTTAAAGTTATTGTGGTAGTTGTTTGTTTCCGATATTTACGTGTCACTTTACGATTTAAGTAGGTTGGTACTTGTGTAGTCCGTGGAAATAACAACTCTTGTCGTAGTGCAATTGTTACACTTAACGTGTGGCGGTCTGATTGGAATTAAAATTAGATTGGAATAAAAAACATAGCTGCTATCAATAATATATAAACTATATTACGTCATTGGCTGCTATGTATTAAATTGATACCTATTTCGAACAGACACTAACCCAGACCTATATTTTATTCCTACTTCGCCACTAATAGAGACCTACTAAAACTATGCAATGATTAACTCAATATCATGCCTTCTTAACTCGCGCAATTCAGCGTTTTAAGAAGGTAGGTAGGTACGCACGGCCACACGTCAGTTTAATGCGATTCAAATAAGAATAGGAAAGCCAATGACCTCCATTTGTCAAATGACGCTTGAAAAGTACAATTTGAAAAAAAATCTTAGAACTGTTTTTTAGCACTCAGCTAATTCTAGAATAAAAAATCCAAACATTTGTAAACAAACATTAAGAAATATTCTTCTTCTTCTTTTTCTTTTTTTATGGCATGCACGGTTTGTGCGTTCTGAACAAATATTGAAAATTAATATTGGTTAACATTTTTTTTTCATTTATTGAGCTTTGGCTATGATTGTTTGATAACCCAAATCGTCAACCAAATGTCACTTTAAGTTCCGTTCAGCAACTCGATTTAAAACTTTCGTTTACATAAAGGATGCATGTATGTGACCTAGGAAAATTGCATGATTATTCATGAACTTTTCACTTTCTAAACTAATAACCTTCTTAAATATTATATTAATACGGCAAACACGGTGTTTTATCTGCTCCCTATACTAGTTATATTCTTCATATTATTATTCTTGTACTATAACACCTAGCGGTGGATTATCACTCACGCTGGGGGTGAAAATGGATTCGTTGAAGGAGCACTTCTTATGTTTAAGTCAAAATTAAAATCCGGAGATTATCATGATGAAATGAATGGTGCCAACTTTTCAAAATGGATTAATGAAAGGTTAATTAATACCCCATCTCCCGCAAAACGCAATTATCGTCATGGATTACCACAGCATGGAAGCATCTAAGCCCCCAAATATGGACACTAAGAAAGCAGAAATGCAGTCATGGTTAAAAGAAAAGAATATTGAATACGAAGAATGCTTCACAAAAGCAGAATTTTATGAATTAATAAAGAGGCACAAACAGCCAAAAAATTATATAGTTGACATCATTTTCAACTCGCATGGTTTTGAAGTTTTGAGGTTGCCACCCTACAATTGTGACCTTAACCCAATTGAATACATTTGGCACTTCATTAAGTGCAGGGTGACAGACAAAAACGTTAGACAATTGGAAACTGAAATAGAAAGATTGACGTTAGAAGCAATTGCTTCTATTACGAGTGACGATTGGAAGAAGGAAATAAACCTTGTAAAACGTTAAGAAAATGAGTACTATCCAAGGGAAATAAATATTAGAAGAGGGTGATTAGTTTTATTATAAATACGGATAAGAAAATGACCATTTTTATTTTATATAAAGTTGTCGTTTTAAGACCTACAATAATCCATATTTTATTTTATAGCCGAGAGCAGCAGCGATGATGATGACGACGATGACAACTCCGGTAGTTATGCAGAGCTGAGCGGAATTGAAGAGCTAGATTCCGATTAATCACACAGTCTTAATAAATAAATGTTATTAAAAATGATTTTTTTTCTATCTTAGTAAATAAATTTTATTAAAAAAAAACTGATGTTTTTCTCACTTAATCTTAGTAAACAAGATTTATTTAAAAAAATCTGATGTTTTTTCTCACTTAATTTTAGTAAGTAAGTTTTATCAAAAAAGAAGAAATACTTTTTTTGCTCACTCTACCTATTTTGTTTCAACTGACAGCTATGACATCACAAAATGGCGCCCAGTCGATCCCATTCTTAGTTGAATCGCATTATAGGCACTTTTGCGCGGGAATCGTTTTCTTGGCGCTCGTCGTAGAGTACGTTTCTTCTTGCAGCGTCTTTTGTAGGCTAAAATAGCGTTGGTATTTTAACTTTTATATAGGAGTGATGTATCTGTTACGTAGTAGCTATTATCTAATCTGTGTTAAAGGAATCCATCCGACTACCCGACAAACATTACTGCGCGTCCTAAAAGTTTTAAATAATATAAAATGATAACATAAGTATTTATTATGTTGCAAATAGATCCTATAGCAAATTTAGTAGCCCCCAATCAAACACCAATTCCTGTGATAACTGATGCAGAAAATGTTATCTATGAAGTAGTCTCCGAAAGAACCTTAAGGAAAATTGGAGACGTAGCCGCGCAGCAGTCACTTGGCACTGATGGACACCAGACCTTAGAAGGAATCAACAATATATACGCGATACAACAACAAAATATGGAAAATCATGAAAAAACGCAGAAATTTCTGTGCAAGTTGAAGAATTAAGAAATGATCGGTAGCCAACAACTGTAACACTATTAGGTGAGGCTAAGGGTATGGAAGTGGAATCCTTCATGCTAAGACCTATAAATGACATTGGTAACTTGGAAAAACTAGAACAGGAGTTCTCAAACAAGGAAGCATTTGAAAAACTCAAGCAACAATACTCAATTGTGTGTTCTGAATTACTGGAAAATGGCGTTAACTGTGCTTACAGGTTGCTGGATATACTGTTTACGAAGATTTTTTTGTGTTCCTGGACTGGAGGTAGTCGTAATGCAGCTGATGTGAAATTAGGGCTTAAAGCTTTCAAAAACGTAATAATTTTTTTTCACCATGGCTAACTTTTGGGATTAAAATTTCACGATGGAACAAAACGAAAATTTCTTAAAAACGGTGTTGAGAAATGCGCTTAAACGCCCAAATATGAAAATGAGAATAATAATGGGAATGGTCAAGAAAATTTTGCAGCACCGCAAAATTTGAATGAAAATAGCCATCAAAAAGAAGATACCCAAATTGGAAAAGAAAAAGATGAAGATTTTTTTTGTTTGAAGAAGTTTGTTTCTTAGGTTTTCACGCACATCACTCATTAAATAAAACTAGTTTTTCACGGGTTAATGCACGAAACTTAATTTATTTATTGACGTTTCGCAGCCTTTACAGGCTGCTTCGTCGGAATGTTTTTTTATTTAAATTTGTCGAGCTACCTTCGAACGACTTTTATTGAGCGTTCGGTTATTTCATTGTACGTTTTTTAAAGTTTTATTGTCTATGTATGAATTTATTACTTAATTTAGTTAATAAAGTACTTTATTTAAAATTCTTTTTTGTAATTTTGAGTTTATTTATTTGACCCTAACTACCGTAAACTACCACCGGTTCCAAATTGGGAGACCTTTCTGAGAAGAACCGGCGAAACAAACTCAAGAGAGGCTTTCTATCTCCTTCTTATGTTAAATTCTGCAAACAAAAAGAAGTTATTATATAATCATGAGAGATCTTTCTATTATTATGTATTATAACCATAGTTAAATATTACTGCCCAAGTAGTTTTATCGTGAATAGCATATGAATTATCTCAACATTTTTCACGCGCCGCTTAGGTAATCAAGTTTAGTGATGGTAAATAAGACATAAATAAAGACTTTTGTGTTGAAAAAAAAACTTAGGATAACACAGCTTATTCTTATCTTTCAAAAGTCATTAAAGAAATAATAAATTGTATTTTTAACTGTAATTAATTACTAAATTGAGGCATTTGTTATACATAATAATTCAATAGTTTACTTAAAAATAAGTTTTAATGGCGATTCATTATAAGCTGAATAAAAGCTCTCCACGCACTGCAGCTGTTTTACATAACTCTGTATAAAAAGTCACTCCTTTCTAATTATTAAGCTTTTTTTTGAGAAATAGTGATCTGGTAGTACAGATATCTGAATAACACTTGAATAATTTACTTAATATGATTAATTATACAGCTAATTTGGGTTCAAAATAAAATGCGATAGACCCAAATTTTTCAAGAAAAAATTTATACTTACCTGCACTCGAGAGCAATGAATTAGGGTTATATAAGGTGCCATTAAATTAACAAGCGGAACTTTAAGGGGTGGTAATTAATTGTTTTTTTTTCTATTTATTTGTTTGATATCAGCTGGCGGGCAAAGTTGTTGACCTCGAGCCTCGAGTTCGGCTCGCGCGGCCGACGGACGCGATGCGTTGTACGCGCTTGGTAAATAAGGAGATTATTACACTATTAAAATAATTAACTCAACTAATTTTAATTTTTCAAAATTAATTTTTAATTTTTTATAAGTAATAAAAGTTTTTTTTCTTTTAATTTTCATTTTTAAATTAATCTATAAACGCTTCTCTTGGTAGAGCTTGGTAGAGGAACAAGCGGAACTTCAAGAGATTAGTTAATTTAATGGCACCTTATATAAAAATACCTGAAAGTCTCGGAAACTAAGAACGCTAGCTTAATGAAATAAATTGTGATTAATATACAAACTTCTTAGTTAGCAATCAGTTGACTGAATTTGCTCAAATGGTTCAAATTTTTTTTCGTACGATTTTCATATTTTTCTTGTTTTTGGTAGATTTCGTATAGCTATTTAAATAAAATATAAAAGAATTAGGTAAAAAAATCTCAGCAATTTATGCAAAGGGCATCAGCTTATAAATTGCTATAACTGACTATACGTATTATTTATTTATTTAATACTTCAAGCACATAAATGTACAGAGGCGGACTTATTGCTTTATAATAGGTAATATGTAGATACATAGTAATTGCTATAGGTACTTAAAAAACATAAACAACAAATTATAAAAAAAAATACCTCTACCTACCTATCTTCAACGAGAAATCTAAATGTATTGTACGTAATAGGACCGCGAAGCCCGCGCCGCCGTCGCGTCGCGCCGCTACCGCAGCCCTGCTCGCACCCTCTCCTCTCTCTTTACTATGGGTTGGGTGCGCGTTCAATTTAAAATATTAGTCAGTTGCGATTATTTACAGAAACGGAGCGTAACACTGACGGCTGCGAGTGCGCGTCGTGTGTTAAACTCGCGAGACTATAATTTTTAAAAGGTTTTTTTTATAGTTTCATTGTTTTTAATTATCATGAAATAGTACCTGTTGCACTGTGTTCCTAACATAAAGCGAAATTTCTGGCAGGAAAATGCCGTTTAAGATAGTGTCCACACGTCGAAGAAGCAGAGCAGAACCCAAGTAACACAGACATGCTGAATAAAGTTTGTGTAATAGCAATTCGCAAATGTTTACAGCTATAAGTTACAAAACGTGTGAGTAAGTGGAAATTGAAAAAGCCAAATTCTGAATAATATTCTCTTTTGGTCTTTATAACTCTTTAAGCTTAGTAAAAGTTCTATTAAGTTGACTATTTTTCTTAAAGCTTAGTAATAACTTCTGTACCGCATACAACACAGATGTTATTATGCCTAAAGCATTACAGATGACTTTAATTTGAAAAAGAGTGCCTGGGACAGCATTTATATATTAGTATAAGTAGCTGAATAAACGTAGTTATCTAATACTAGTATACAAACTTTAGTCAGCTTCTTGCTGAAGAAACCACTATATGCTGTAAAATAGTGAGTTTACTGAATAATGGTGTAGTTAATTTCTATTAAAAAGCTTGATTTTGCATAACCGCTTCTATTTTGTGTTCAAGTCACATAAGGTTCCATATTTTATCAATTATTCAGCTACTGTATAAAAATGTTTTTTAGGTTTTATTAGCTTATTTCGGTATATTAGAAATAAAGTGATGGTTTATAGCTAACTAACACAAATAGAAGCTGAATGATCTATTGTTACTCTGCAATTATTTGTAAAAGTACCATTTTTAAACAAGTTATACAGAGTTTCTCTGGGTAGTAATTGAATTAGGATGTTTAAAACATTGTTTATCGTTGTGTATTGTTGTACCGCGGGTTTGATGTGAACAGATTGATAAAAAATGGAAAGAAAATCATGGAAATCTAGGAGAAGAACTGGAGGAATTCGTCGTAAATGTATGAAGGAGTACATGAAGCTAAAAGATACAGTTTTAGAAACAGCACAAACGAATCAAATGTGTGATAGTCATAAGTTGAGTCAAGTCCGAACAGATCCACTTGAAAAGAGTTCCTTACCTTCAAATAGTGTCGTTATTGATGTTGAAGAGAGTTCCATACCTTCAAATTTTGTTGATATAGACTTTTTACGGAATTCAGAAGCCAATGGTTCCGCATCTAGTGAAGATGAATCAGATGTGAATTTCATTGAATTTAAAAATATAACTTGTTGCTGTAAAATTAAAAAATGGGCTCTTAGTAAAAATATCTCTCAAATCGCATTGAAAAAATTGATGGCAATTGTCAATGAGTGAATTCCCGGAATCTTACCCACAGATCCTAGAACCTTACTAAAAACTCCCCGAAATATCACTTTAAAAACAATTGAAGGTGGAGAGTACTGGTATAACGGTCTCACTGCACCATTAAAAAGTGTTTTAATGCTGTGGAGGAAGTACCAGATATTGTATATTTAAATTTGAATTTCGATGGTGTACCAATATTTAAAAGCACAAAAAAAGAATTTTGGCCAATACTGTGTAATTTATATGGAAAACCGGAGATAGAACCTTTTATTGTGGGAATTTATTACGGATCTGTAAAACCTAAAAACTTAAATGAATATTTAGAATATTTTGTTAGTGAAATTAATTATATTCTTAAAATGGAATTCAAATATCCAAAGAAGGTATAACACGCACAATAACTATAAAAATAAGATGCTTCATTTGTGACTCTCCAGCATTTATTAGAGATAAGTTAAAATATGTACTTTCGTTTATTTCAAATTTCAATGTAATTTTTCGACAGTGGACTGCTTTAAAACCTTTTTAAATATCAATTGGACATAAATTAGTATCATAAATATAGCGCTTTAGTCAATGTATTTTTGTTTCAGTAGTTTGCAATTTTAACGCCAAGCATGGTTGCCTTAAATGCACAACAATAGGAGAATACTCCCATCAATCTCACACAGTTATATTTCAGAATACGGGATGTCCTAAAAGAACTGATCAAGATTTTAGAGCGAAAAGATACGGAAATCATCAAAAGACAGACACACCTCTTTTAAAATTACCTATTGACATGGTCGAAGATTTCCCGGTTTCTGATCATCATTTTACATCTTATAGACTGAGGGGTAACGAAAACACTTATCTTAGGTTGGCGCGACGGAAAACTTTGGAAAAACTTGTAACTAAATTGAGAGCTCGAGATATACAGATAGTGTCAGATTTCTTCAACGACTGTAAAATACCTTCAGAAATTCATCGTTCTGTGCGAGGGTTCTAGGAACTGCATTTTTGGAAAGCAACCGAATTTCGGACTTTTTTTTATTATTTGAGCGTTATTGTTTTACCTCACGTGCTGCCACTAGACGCCTATGAACATTGCCTTACGCTTTTTTGTGCCATTACGATTTGTTGATGTGAGAATTACAGGTCATTGCTAGATCTTTCACAAGAACTATTTATATATTTTGTGAATAATTTTAAAAAAAAATATGGTGATTATATGACAAGTAATATTCATAATTTAGCACATATTACATTAAATTATATATATATACATACCCTATTAAAAACAAGCTCTATTCAATAAAAAATGCTTAAAAGATGGCAGAAAACCATTGTCAGAGAAGGAACTCGATATCCGAAATTATTTAAAAGTAGGCAACAGAACATACTTGATTATGGAAAATTCAGAATTTCACATAAAAGTAGTGATAAATACTTTATGACTTTCGAAGGAGTAATAGTAGAAGTTATAGAAATAACTGTAAAATATATTAGGGCATAACATACAAGATACCTTTGAAATATACGACAAACCTATAAAATCATCTTATTTTAATATGTTCAAAACAAGTGCTCTGAAGAAGAGTAATCGCAACATTAATGTTAATTTTTCTAATGTCAAACTGAAATTAGTGAGTAACACATACAATAACGAAATTTATTTTATTCCTTTGTTGCATACTTTGACACCATAAAAGTGACTTGTAGAATAGTAGGTATAATAATAATAGTACAGTCAATCTGTCGAAAAAAAAATATCGTTTCAGTGAAAAAAAAACCTAAAGGTAAGTCTTATTTTTTCTGTTGCCAAATGACGTCAGTAATCCACCTTGGCGATGGGCATGTTCAACTCGTAGGCGTTTTTTGAAAAACTCAAAAACGTACATTGAACGTACATTGAAATGTGCACTGCAAATGTTTACTTGAACTGCCCAAAACCGCTCTATTGGATTTTTCATATCTGCGCAATTTATAACTTGAAAACGGTAAGTAATACAAAAAAAAATGTTTATACAAAAGTTGTTGGTAATTATTTACGTAACAACTTTGCCATTTAAAGTTTTCCATTAAAATGATATTTTCAGGGTGAAAAAGTGAAAAAACACTTTTTTTGGGACTTTAGCGCCACCTACAATGCGCATTTTTTGTTGTACGAGATTGCAACAATGACATAAATTGTAGTACTCAACGCCCTCTACAATTATGGTCGAAAAAAAAGTTTCTAAAATGCATAGAAAACAAGAAAAATGCGTTTCAAAAAATTTTTGACGCTTTTTTTGAGTTTTTCAAAAAACGCCTACAAGTTGAACATGCCCATCGCCAAGGTAGCTTACTGACGTCATTTGGCAACAGAAAAAACAAGACTTACCCTTTAGGTTTTTTTTTCACGACTCAACCTACAGATTGACTGTACTAGTAGTCGATTATTATAAATAAAAGCGTTTAAAATAATCTCAATTTCTTTTATTTGTTAAACTTTCAAAAAGACAACATTATAAAGTGAATGTCCATGACAGATCTATGTTTCAATACTTAACACAATATCAACCATAAAATACAGGACGATTTTCTAGTGGTTGCAGTCTTGGAATGAGGAGATCGTACTCATGAAACAATATAAAAGTTAATACCTAGGTAATCCAGCACGTTTGGGAAACTTGATTTTCCCAGATAGTAAACGTTTTTAGTTTCGTAAGAACTGTCACCTCCTTCCTGAACTTCAGAAACCTAGAAATCACCCTGTAATCAAAAACAAAAAAAAAACATCATAAAGAAATAAAAAACTACCGCTTACTAAAAACTACTACTAACTAAAAATAGAAAATTTCAATTTGTTCTAAGTCAACAATATGTAGGCCCAGAGCCCCAGATCCCATTAGCGTCAGCTGGATGTTGCTCTAGGGTTTGTCATAGGTACCATCGACAAAAGCCAGCCATTTCCAATATTGAAACAATTTTGCTTGCAATTTTTTTTCGGGGTAATTCCTCAACTCGTCCCAAATGCCTACGGCCCATCAAAATAAATTATATTGCCCATTATATTATGGGCCATACGCATTTGGGACAAGTTGACGAATTACCCAATATAATTTATTTTGATGGGCCGTAGGCATTTGGGATGAGTTGACGAATTACCCATTATATTATGGGGCATAGGCATTTGGGACGAGTTGACGAATTACCCGTTTCTTGTGTAATACGACAACAAAGGACTATAGGTACAGGGTTTCTTCAATAAATCAGTGGAAACAAAAATCAACTTTAAGGTGTTCGTTTGGTCGATATTAGGTACATGCGTAAATAAGGCGCGCACCCACCAAACGCTGCTGGGATGGCCAACAGAATCGAAAATCTACAAATGTGTAATATACCAATATTCAAAATAAACTACAATCAAATCAATAATGCTAATACTTTCTGAGGGTGACTAGCAATGTAATTATAATTATTAACTAACACAGCAGACTCTCGCCTCGGCGCCGGTGGAAAAACAGCTTAAGACTAAAATTAAAGAAGTAACAAAGAAATAATTTTGATGTCGCACGTACCTACGACATTATTTTGATCAATTAAGAATCTTGTTTGTACATGCACAGTAACATACAAACAGACACATAGGGTACACAATCATATTCTTTCGCTGATTCAACATACCAACTGACAAAACAATATAACACACTTAATCTAACAAAGAGATTCTTCAACCTCCTCCTCTTCTTTCCGAGCCTGACGGTTGACGGTTTGCACCACTCTGATTTTGCGGTTTCGAATTTTCCAAAACATTGACTTCAGGACCATGTTCATTCTCTCTCCTTCATTGTTGTTATCAGAGTCAGATTTATTTTCGTTACTACTTCGTAAATTGCACCATTAGAGTGAGTAATTACAGAACTCGAATTTTGTCCAAACGTTCCATTATCCGCAGTTACAATTGAAGAATCGATCTGCAAAAAAATATAAAAGATTGTAAAAGGTAAAACAATATGAGTGTATGTGTGTGTGTGCGCGTACATTAGGTAAGTAGATAAAGTAGGAATAAAAATGATTAGCTCAAAATATATAAAAAATACGAATGATGTGAATGTTATTAATGAAATTAATTAAGCTAGCATTCTTAGTTTCCGAGACTTTCAGGTATTTTTATATAAGGTGCCATTAAATTAACAAGCGGAACTTATTTGTTTCTTTGGTTTTCACGCACATCACTCATTAAATAAAACTAGTTTTTTCGGGTTAATGCACGAAACTTTATTTATTTATTGACGTTTCGCAGCCTTTTCAGGTCTGCATCGTCAGAATAAACTGACGATGCAGACCTGAAAAGGTCAGAATAAACTGACGATGCAGACCTGAAAAGGCTGCGAAACGTCAATAAATAAATAAAGTTTCGTGCATTAACCCGTAAAAACTAGTTTTATTTAACAAGCGGAACTTCAAGAAGTGGTAGAGCAGCGTTTACAGATTAATTTAAAAATGAAAATTAAAAGAAAAAATATTTTTTTACTTATAAAAACATTAAAAAAATAATTTTGAAAAATTAAAATTATTTAATTAAAATAAATAGAAAAAAAAAACTATTAACGCTACTCTACCACCCCTTGAAGTTCCGCTTGTTAATTTAATGGCACCTTATATAACCCTAATTCATTGCTCTCGAGTGCAGGTAAGTATATAATTTTTCTTGAAAAATTGGGTCTGTCGTATTTTATTTTGAACCCAAATTAGCTGTATAATTAATCATATTTAGTAACTTATTCAAGTGTTATTCAGATATTTGTACTACCAAATCAATATTTCTCAAATTAAAGCTTAATAATTAGAAAAAGGAGTGACTTTTTATACAGAGTTATGTAAAACAGCTGCAGTGCGTGGAGAGCTTTATTCAGCTTATAATGAATCGCCATTAAAACTTATTTTTAAGTAAACTATTGAATTATTATGTATAACAAATGCCTCAATTTAGTAATTAATTACAGTTAAAAATACAATTTATAATTTATTTAATGACTTTTGAAAGATAAGCATTAGCTATGTTATCCTAAGTATTTTTGTCAACACAAAAGTCTTTATTTATGTCTCATTAACTATCACTAAACTTGATTACCTAAGCGGCGCCTGAAAAATGTTGAGATAATTCATATGCTATTCACGATAAAACTTCTTGCGCAGTAATATTTAACTATGGTTATAATACATAATAATATTTACTTACCAATTCTCAGTTTCACTGTGCACGTCGTTGTTGATTTTATTCATTACAACGACATGAAGTGTCATAACAAAGACACAATGCAAGTCACCACCACTTTTTTTCTACTTTACAACATAACTCTTAATTTTGTTTGAAAATTATTACGCAAACTAACTTAATCCTGAATAGTTTCTGAATATCAGTATCTGAATCTCTATCTGAAAGGCTGAATAAATATGAAATAACAGCTCTATAAAAGAGATGTCAGCTTTTTGTCAGATGTTATTAAGCTAAGTGGGTCATTACTAAGCTATTACCCAGACTTTAAATCGCTGTTATACAGACTGAAACATTGAAAACTATGCCTAAATTGTTTGATTAACAGCTGAACAGACGTTTAGTCAGACATTATCCAGACAATAGTTTCAGCTTATAGTTTCTCGGATCGCTATTACTCAAACTTTATTCAGCATGTCTGTTACTTGCACGTTACACGTTTACACGTTACTTGAGAAATTATCTACTGTACCCAGTGGGAACACTGGGAACACAGAGAAAAACTTCGATGGCCCAAATATAATTCCGATTCACTTTGTAAAGACGAAAATGCTCAACCTGGTCCAGATTGGATTGCAATGAATTGTACCTTAAAAAGGAAGAATTTTCCAACATATGAAGATGCAGAAGAAGAGTTAATTAAAATGCTGAACAAAACTGATACTGACACTGATAATGACCAAGGTAATCGATACGGGTCCATGCAAAATACTACGACGGATTGTCCCAATCTTTACTCTTTGGGCTCAATGTTTGGTAAGTACACACATCAAAAGTGTCTAGGGATCAAGCATTTTTATGCGGATTTCTTGAGATTGAGATGTGGCTTTGTAATAAATTTATGATTTTATAAATTTATATGGATCCTTTTTGGTGCATTTCATAATTTGAATCAGGAACTGTGAATCAAATTCGAGTAAAAGATGAAAATCAGCTGTCAATATTTTCCCTATAAAAACATACAACGCATTGAAGACATTATTAGTGCTACTGTTTCCCTACTACTGATTAAAACCAACGTTATTATGGAGCGGCGACGTCATTTAAGCAGGGAAGAAATGCTCAGAGCCGTGGGAATGATAGAAGCTGGTTCCCGGCAACGTACTGTGGCTTTAGCTCTGAATACAAGTCAGAGTGTTATCAGTCGACTTTGGACACGATACCGAAGCACTGGTACCGTGGCTGAGCGCGATGGAGGACGGTATCGCTGCACCACACGGAGACAAGACCGATACATTCAAATCTTAACTCGAAGAGCTCCAACAATAACCGCCATGATGTTAGCCGTGAGGCTTCATCACTCTTCAGGGAACTTAATTAGCGACCAAACAGTCAGAAACCGCTTGCATGAAGTGAACCTTCATTCCCGAAGACCGCTACGGGTACCACCTATAGCAATGCACAATCGTAGGATTCGATATCAATGGGCTCTTGAACACAGAAATTGGGCAGAAGAACAATGGCGTTTCGTGTGCTTTTCTGATGAGTCTCGTTTTGGTATGAGACCGGATACAAGACGTATACGACACTGGAGAACCCCTGGACGCCAACAGCAATTAAAATCCTGCCAGGAAGTCCATCCTTATAGTGGTGGAACCATCATGGTATGGGCGGGTATTTGGATCGGCGGAAGAACTGAGTTGATTTGGATCAGAGGCAACCTCAACGCTCAAATTTATGCTGAGACGATTGTATCAGACGTCATCGTTCCTCTACAAGTGCAAATCGGTCCCTTATTTCAGTTAATGCATGATAATGCACGACCGCACACCGCAAGAGTTGTAAGACAGACTCTCGCCGCAGCTAACATCAATGTCCTGCCCTGGCCTGCTCAGTCGCCAGACTTGAACCCGATTGAGCATGCATGGGATATGCTACAGAGAAGAGCTCTGCCGAATATGGAGGGTATCCAGTCGCAAGAAGACCTTTTTTTGTTGTTGCAACGAACATGGGCGGCCATTCCACAGCGTGATTTGGATGAACTCATTTTGAGTATGCCAAACCGATGTTCTTGTGTTGTTAGTGTTCGCGGTAGAAATACGGATTATTAATTGTTTAAGTTACCCAATAAAATTTTAGAGAAAACTGTTATTTCAGTCTTTTTTTCGAACTTTTGTGTTAGTGGTTCAAATGTCAAAAATCCCTTTATTAGGAAAATGGCAAATTTCTTTATTAATGCAAAGGTGACTTGGTTTATCGTTACTGTGACAAACGAAAACACTTTATTTGATGAATCCTTAAAGAAAATTTTAATTAATATCAATCAGGAGAAAAGTTATTGCAAAAATATATGTTGATCCCTAGACACTTTTGATGTGTGTATATTACCCCAGTAAGAAACCTACACTACAAATACACCTACACAGATCAATTACTTACGATACAAATAACAGTCCCGGGAGAGCCATCTGTTCTTAACTGGTAAACAAACAGTTCGCGGCAAAGATTAATTAACCGTACCTACACGACACCTCGGACACTTTATATATTCTGTGACACAGCGCTCGCACAGTAATTACCTATTACTACTACATGACCAAATAACGTGCAAATGTGTGCTTGAACTCTAGTAGGGCTGTCGTGCGTAGCGAAAAAAATGGCGCGAAAACTACGAAAAGTGCAGCGATTTGTGTCGGGCGCGGGCGAACCGAACGAAGACGGGCGCTGCCTAGGGTTGCCAACTATATGTTTTCAACAGTATTATACTGTTTTTCACTAAATTATACTTTTTACTGTTTAAAAAAAATAAAGTATACAAAATTCAGTTTGGTCCGATCTGTTGTTGAGAGTGGTCGCACTTGTGCATTTATTTTTCGCAGAATAGAAGTGTTATTGCAATCTCATTTTTTTGTGTGATACTAATTGGTGTATTATTGTTTGTGTTGCCGAATATATGAATGAAAAGGGGCACCAGGCAAATTGCTCCGTGTGTCCTTGTCTGGCGTCCTCAGGGATCGAAACCACAACGAATGTGGCCCCGATGGTAGGCTGCTGTTGGATGCCGTTAAGCAGCCAACGTTCGGGTTTCAGTTCCGGATTCCCGATCTGTAGGCATTTGCCTAGCAACGCCTGATCGTGCTTCCAGAGCTTGGGCAGCACAAAACCACACCTGACTCTCTTGGGGATCTCGGCGTCCCGGAGGACACCAAGCTCTCCCAGCTCCGAGTCGTGGATGTCTTGTACCACTTTTAGAAACCAACCAAACGTTGCGGTGTTGGTGCACGTAAAGCGAAGGCACCCGTCCGCGTAGAGGGGTTTCCCGCAAAAAGCTAGACCCCCCTCAAACAGGCCGGACGTTCCGTGCTCATCGCTGCCTGTAAAAAGGCATCCTCGAGCTTCTCCTCAATTTGCTCCGCCGTCGGTCTCGAGATAAACCCGGTCTTCGACGTGACGGCGCATCTGATGAGAGCCGAGGAGGCCGCTGCAGCCCCGTAGGATTTCGGGGCGGTCTCGGTCGCTGTCGTCTTAGACCGTTTGGATTCGCTTCGAGGAGACACTGTTTCATCAAGCCTAGCTCGCTTGGCCCCAGACTTCGTCTTCGCGGGCCCTTTCCCCTTCGGCTTTGAGTAGCACTAACTTTACTCGCCACTCCACATACCTTTACTTATACAAGACTTTAATCCGCTCTCAACTCGAATATGCTGTGCCTATCTGGAATCCTTTTTATAATAAATACACAGTACAGTAGAAGCAGTACAGAGGAAGTTTTTGGGCTGCATGAATTACAAGTGTTATCGTAATAGATTATCTTACGAGCATCTCCGCTGCAGCCCCGTAGGATTTCGGGGCGGTCTCGGTCGCCGTCGTCTTAGACCGTTTGGATTCGCCTCGAGGAGACACTGTTTCATCTAGCCTAGCCCGCTTGGCCCCAGACTCCGTCTTCGCGGGCCCTTTCCCCTTCGGCTTTGGGTAGCACTAACTTTACTCGCCACTCCACATAAAAACTAAAACAATAAACGATAACACTTGTAATTCATGCAGCGCAAAAACTTCCTCTGTACTGCTTCTACTGTACTGTGTATTTATTATAAAAAGAGTTCCAGATAGGCACAACATATTCGAGTTGAGAGCGGATTAAAGTCTTGTATAAGTAAAGGTATGTGGAACTGTATGGTTGGCATCCCATGTCCCCTACAGTTCACAAAATTCTGATGCATGGAGCTCAAGTAATATTCAGTCACATTGTTCCTATCGGACAGCTATCGGAGGAGGTTGCTGAAGGAACAAACATTTCCGTAAATATCGGGTAGATTATTCACGAAAATTTTCAAGCGTGGACTGCAACAGAGATATTTTAAATAGGTTATTGCTGACGTCTGATCCCTTCATCAGCTGCAATAGAATAAAAAGGAAGAAGAAAAGCAAGCCCTCTTCCCAGGGAGCAAAAAATATGTTACTCTCGAAAGTACTGAATTACGACAGTTCCGATGACGAAGATGATGAGGGCCAAATCACCAGAGAACTCGGAGATAGTGATTTGGATTAATTCGGTCTTCTCATATCATATTGAATTCAAAACCTGTTTTAAGGGTAAAGACATTGAAAGAAAGTAAAATTGAATAGTAAATACTATATTAGATTTTAACTATTATTTTAATGGTTTCTTTTTTAAATAAATGCCTAATTATTATGAATTATTGACTTTCATTTCATAGAATATTAAAATTAAATATAAAATAATTTTGTCCGGTTTTTTATGTGAAATACTCCTATGTGCGATGCTTGCACGCTCGACACCGAGACCGAAAGCGCGCGAAATCTCAAGAAAGAGATCCGCAACACCGCCGTCGACAGCCTCTCACACCTGCACCCCTCCCCCCAGCCCCACCATCCCTGACACCGGACAGCCTCCTCCATGAGCTGAAGGCCATATCGGCCCAGATTGCAGCATTGGCCACGGAGCTGCACTACCTGAAGCTGGACAGCTCCAGCAACCAGGTAGGTGCAGCACTATCACCACCACCCGCGACACCGGCGACAGACACCACAGAGGGGAAAGGGGATGCCGTACACTCCTCGAGATCCAGAACGAGATCTCGAGGATGAAAGAGGACATGGCGGAACTCCGCCGTGACCTCGCACGGCACAACCCTGTTACCCGCGAGGAGGTCGCGGAGATTGTCGCGGAATCCGTGGCGCCGGTGCTGGTGCAGGCCAGGCAGCTCAGGGAGGGGATGGAGGAGGTGAGGGACGTGGTGCTGGCGAACGGGCTCCAGGGGCGCCCCAGTGTCGACCTCAGCTCCGAAATGGCATTAGCCGAAACCACCGCCCACATTGATCGGCTGCTTAATCCCCTCAGGGACGAAGTAGCCGAAATGGCGGGCGGTGCAAAGGAGCTGAGGTCGACACTGGAGGTGTGGAACAGTAAGTTCAAGAACAATAAGCCGGAGGAGTTCACAAAGGCGCGATCTAGGACAGATGCGCAGGAGGCTGCCCAGTTGTGCAACTATTGCGGACGGGCACACTCCTGGGCCGAATCCCGGGACCGGCAGAGTGGAGCACCACCCTCTTGCATTAATTGTAAGAGAGCCAAACGGGACACCGACCACCACCATCTCTCGTTCAGCGACGAATGTCCTGAACGAGCAATGTGGGATGGCATAGCAAGGGACAAAGTAGCGTATTGCTAAGGGACCCCAAGACCAGGACCTCCAAGTGGTCGGAACGAGGTTGAATTTTATTCAAATCAACCTCTAAAGGTCCAAACAAGCCACGACCGAGCTGTTACATCTAGTAGAGGACAGGCATATTGACATTGCTCTCGCCCAAGAACCCTACGTGGGTTCAAAAGGCGTGGTAAAGCAATATCCTGGCACTAAAGTCATCCAGTGCACCCTCAATCGGCAGAAGCCGGTAAAAGCAGTAATATTCGTCTTCAGTGACAGGTTGAAGGTAATAAGCGACCCTCAGACTGTGACTGAGACGGAGGTGGCTGTATTACTGGCTTCTGGTGACCTAAAGCTTGGACTGATTTCCGTCTACTTTGAGGGAGACCTGGACCTACGCTCGATGTTGTTCTCTATGTCCAGGTAAAAAAAATCAATTTGTCCGATGCTCAGGCTAGCATGAGCATCGGACAAATTGATTTTTTTTCTTATATACAATTTTTATCTCCAATATAAATAAAAGAGGTAGTTCTTAAGACATTATTATTTTATTTTATTATCATAAAACATCTTTATTTTCAGCAACCTGTACTTCTTCGCATTCACAAAGTATGGGCGCAAGTCCTTGTTCACCGAAACCCCAGTCGTCTAAGCGACGTGGAGTTAAAAGGATGCTAAGCGAAAACATAGGTAGGTCAAGACAACCATACACTAACTATTAGCAAATTCCATAACCATATTAACTTGGCAATAGTAATGTATATTACGGCCCACCCATACCAACAAAAAATTTTCACCTCAAGATCATAATTTTTCGAAATTCTTTTTCTAACCACCAAAATCTTTGTACTAATTTTTCTATCATTTATATAATGTTAAAATTAAAATCGAATAGTAAATAATATAAATTATTTTTCAGATTCAAGCACTCCCAGAAACCTGAATAGCGATCTACGAGAAAGCATAAGCGATCATGATTATGAATCTTCTCGAACCCCAAAGAAAACAAGGATTCAATGTAGTATATAGCGCATGACTATCAGTATGAATGTACTCCCAGATCTAGCAAAAACTCCTTAAATCTAACGAAACGATCGTAAAAGTTGTCAAATGCGCGTGTTAAAGCTTTGACTCACCGGGTTAAACGACTAAAAATAAAAGTAACTCATCTCAAAACTGTTGTAAATGACTTGAGTAAACGCAATAAGGCCTTGAAGAATGTATACTTCTTTTAAAACAGTATGATAAATTTCAAATGGAACTCTTTAATAGAATGGTCAAAAACACAGGGCAAAAAAAAATTAATCACAATAAGTACCCTCCAGAGCTTCGTGCGTTTGCAATAACTCTTCATTTTTATTCACCCAAAGCTTACACATATGTTAGGAATAAATTCAACTTAGCTTTACTTCATCCTCGAGTGATTAGATCCTGGTATAGTACGGTAAATGCTGATCCAGGCTTTTCTCAAGAAGCTTTCCGTAGCCTAAAGCTTAAATCAGAAATTTTCAAACAAAATGGAGAAATTAGTTTGTGCTCTCATTTTAGATGAAATGAGTCTTAAAAAAGGATGTCAGCGCGGCCGTGATCGAATAATTCGTGGGCATGTAGATATCGGGTCAGCCCTACCTTTAGATCAGGGTTTCTTAAAGTGTGGTCCACGGACCCCTTAGGGGTCCGTAGCAGGTGTATCAGGGGTCCGTAGGAGGTGAGTTTGCAAAAATATTTTTCAAAAAATTGTGTGGTGTGGGGCGCGGGCCCGGACTACAAGCTAGCGCGATGAGTCTTTGGCTTTGACCGTTATTGCGCAGAAGTCAAAAATTGGGTATCGAATGCTATGATTGGCGGTACCCATGCGCAGTATCCCCTCCACTCTGCGGTCAAAGCCAAAGACTCATCGCGCGAGCTGTATGTACGCGTGAGTTCTCGCCGCCGCCGCCTCGCCCCACCACCGCCCGCGCCACCCGCTCGCTCACTCAGTCGCTGCGCGCCGCACGGCACATCGTACCCGCCACTTGCATTGTTTTTAATTAATTAGTGAAACGTACAGGTACGTAAAAAGAGGATTAATAATAATAAGTATTTTTTAATTATACAAACTTACATATTCAATTGTGTAACGTACCTAATTGTATATTACATTGTTTCAGTTTGTTCAAGAAAATGTCAAAGAAACGAAAGTATGACGAGTCTTATGTTAACTTTGGGTTTACTTTCGTGACTGAACGTGATGGAACTCAAAAACCGCAGTGCTTTTTATGCGGAAAAGTGCTTGCTAATGGAAGTATGAAACCAGCAAAGTTGTCAGAACATCTTAAAACTGTCCACCCTGGAAATGTATGCGACAGCATTGATGACTTTCGTACTAAGAAGGCTCGGTTTGAAAAAGCCGGCACTTTACCTAAATTAGGATTCACCCCGACACAAAAACCATGTCTTGAGGCATCGTACAAGGTTGCTTACCGTATTGCTCAGCAAAAGAAGCCACATACTATCGCGGAAACATTAGTGAAGCCTTGCGCACTGGATATTGTGGAACTTGTGTGTGGTAAGAATGAAAGAAAGAAGGTTGAAGCTGTTCCCTTA